CTTCAGGAGGATTAATCCGCACAAAGCAACTGGCCCAGACAACATCCCCGGAAAAGTGTTGAAGGAATGTGCTGATCAGCTCTGCGAGGTGCTGGCAGACATCTTTAACACCTCACTTACCCTGGAGACAGTTCCCACCTGCCTGAAGACTGCCACCATCATCCCAGTCCCAAAAAGCTCTACAGTGACTGGTCTGAATGACTATCGGCCAGTGGCCCTCACCCCGATAGTCGCGAAATGCTTCGAAAAACTGGTCATGACTCACATCAAAACAACCATCAACATCAACGAGGACCCTCATCAGTACGCATACCGTGAGAACCGATCAACAGAGGATGCAATCTCCTCTGTGGTCCACACTGCACTCAACCACCTGGAGCAGAAAAACTCTTACGTCCGTATGCTCTTTGTGGACTTCACATCCGCCTTCAACACCATGATCCCCCAAACCCTGATGGACAAACTATTCACACTAGGACTAAGCCCCTCCATCTGCAACTGGGTACTAGACTTTTTAACAAACAAACCACAGTTAGTGAGGATCCACAACCTCTCCTCCTCCACCATAACCCTCAGCACTGGCTCTCCTCAGGGATGTGTGTTGAGCCCCCTTCTGTTTACTCTGCTCACATATGATTGTGCAGCTACCCATCCAGGCTGTCACATTGTAAAGTTTGCAGATGATACAGCGGTGGTGGGATGCATCACAAACAATGATGAGTCCAGCTACAGGCAAGAGGTGGAACACCTGGAGAGCTGGTGCAGAGAGAATAACCTTCACATCAATGTGAAGAAGACAAAGGAGATGATTGTGGACTTCAGAAGGAACAAAAACACCTACACCCCCCTGAACATAAGAGGATCTGCGGTGGAAGTGGTCTCCAGCTACAAGTACTTGGGTGTACACATGAATGACAACCTCAGCTGGAGCAACAACACCACCAGCCTGATCAAGAAAGCTCATCAGAGACTCTACTTCCTCAGACGGCTGAGGCGAGCTGGTCTGGGAAGCTCAGTCCTCACCTCCTTCTACAGGTGTGCAGTGGAGAGCATCCTGTGCTCGAGCATCAATGTGTGGCATGGAGGCTGCACAGCTGCAGAAAGAAAAGCTTTGCAGAGAGTGGTGAAGGCTGCACAGAAATCTGTTGGAATCAGCCTCCCCACCATCACAGACATCTACACCTCCAGACACTTGAGTAGGCAGCGAAATTGCCGCCTCTTATTGAATAGAATAGAATAAACTTTTGTCATTGCACCTAAATACAATGAAATTTGAGTTTGCTTCCCAGAGCAAAAGCAGAAAGAGTATACAGTGGTCCCTCGTTTATCGCAGAGGTTACGTTCCAATCCAGACACCCCCCACCCCACCCCACAATAAGTGGAAAAACCACGAAGTAAAGTGAAAAACCACAAAGTAGAAATGACATAAATTTCTGAGTTGAAGCAACAAACCAAAACAGTTCAGTCAACTAATACATTTAAATCAACTAAACTAATGCAAAAGTTTATTTAGCAAGAGTTTATTAATCAAGTCTAAAAAAGTTCAATCTGGTCCTCTGGACATTCAAAAAAACAAAACAAAGCAAAAAAATCTAGATACGTTTCGTCTTTCGGATGAACAATGAATTTCGTATACCATACCATACCACTTTATTTATAAAGCACTTAAAACAGCAACAAGGCCAACCAAAGTGCTGTACAGACAAAACAACAGGTAACACACAAAGCAAAATACAAAATGAGGTAAATCAGAATATAGACAAAAACCGATGCAGATAATGACGACAAACCAGTGTAGAGCATACAGGATCAAAACACAGATCATCTTGTGTTGAAAGCTATTGAATAGTAGTGAGTTTTTAAACGGGACTTTAAAACCGAGAGGGAGGGGGCCTGTCTGACAAGCCAAGGTAACTCGTTCCAGAGTCTTGGTCCTGCTACAGAGAAGGCCCTGTCACCTCTGCGCTTAAGACGAGTTCCTGGAACTGTGAGGAGCAACTGGTCCGCTGACCTCAGTATGTATCTTAACAGCTGGTTAAATGAAAAGTTAAGATCAAATCAGATTTTAAACACTCCAGATGTGCAACACAAACAGATTGATATTAAACTAGTCCCTTATTGCACTTATTCAGTTCTTATTACAGCTCTTGTTAAGTTCAGTAACGGCTGGCAGATAAAAACAATTTTTAAATCAATTTTTTCTTGTCTTGATTGATTTCAACCTTTTCCCTGATGGTAACAGTCCAAACAGATCATGTCCAGGGTGAGACATGTCCTTTAAGATGTTGTTGGTTTTTCCTATGCAGTGAGAACTGTGTGGATCTTCCAGTGAGAGAAGAGGGCAGTCCACGGTCTTCTGGGCTGTGTCGAAAACCCTCTGGAGCACTTTCCTCTGAGCCACTGTGCAGCTAAGGTACCACACATTGATGCAGTATGTTAAGATTCTCTCTATGGAGCATCAGTAGAAAGACGCCAGCAGTCTCTGGGTGATCTTGTTCCTCCTGAGCACTCTCAGGAAGTACAGTATCTGCTGGGCCTTTTTCAGCAACTCAGAGGTGTTCACACTCCAGGTCAGATTCACCTCAATATGGACTTCCAGGAAACGGTAGTCAGCTACTCTCTCCACACCGTCTCCGCTTGTAATCAGGGGTGGGACCGTCATTTTTTTCCCCCCTGAAGTCGATGATTAGCTCCTTGGTCTTTGAGGTGTTGAAGAGCAGATTGTTCCCCCTGCACCTAAATGCACCTAAGGTTGTTCCACCTCGTCCCTGTAGGCAGACTCATCTTCCCCACTGAAGAGTCCTACCGCTGTGGTGTTGTCCATAAATTTGACTATGGTGTTGCTGTGGTGAGCAGAGGTACAGATATGTGTGTAGAGGGCATAGAGCAGGGGACTCGACACACAGCCCTGGGGCGTTCTCATGTTGAGGCTGAGGGCCATGGATGTGTGATGGCCCATTTGAATCCTTTGACTGCGGCCAGACAGGAAACTGTTTACCCATTTTCAGGTGGAGTGTGAAAGTCCCAGTTCCCCGAGTTTGTCCACCAGTTTGTTGGGGAGGATGGTGTTGAAAGCAGAGCTATAGTCTACAAAAAGCATCTGCACATAGCTCTCTGTTTTTTTCCAGGCGGGACATAGAAATATGGTGGGCTGTGCGCATGGCATCCTCGGTTGATCTTGAAGGAAAATTGAGAAGGTAGAGACACATGCATCATCACTAGACGGAGTGTCATATAAACTTTCATCACCCCTGCTGATGAGGTCATGGTCAAGATCAAGATCAAATATTTTGTAAGGCATTTGCTTGTCCTGGTCATTGCTATAAATGGTAAATGGACTGTACTTACATAGCTCCTTTCTACCTTATTGAGATACTCAAAGTGCTTTACAGCACAATCTGTGTCCTCATTTACCTATTCATACAGCACTCTACTATACAAAGAATAATCAGAGCTTTAGATCACATTCATACACCGATGGGACACATGTCAGAGGCAATGAGGGGTTCAGTGTCTTGCCCAGGGACACTTCAGTATGTGACTGCTGGTGGAATTGAACTCTCAACTCTTTCATTGGAGGATCACTCTCTGAGCCACAGCCACTACAGATGGCTGTATGGCTGCATTTGTTTGTTGATGGATCTATAATGTACCATATGCGGTACTCTTGTTTTTTCTTCTTCTCCTGTAATTTTTATTGGTGTTTATTAAGCAGTGCATTGGTGCATTACCACCAACATCTTGCAAGGAATAAAAAAAAAAGAAGTTATTTCTCTAACGCGACATTGGTTCTCCTTATTGAATAGAATAATGATTATAAATGATTATTCCTTATAGAATAATGATTCTAGAATTGTACTGCTTGCGCTGGTTGCATGTTGGAGTAGCTGTGCTACTTTAATTCTAAGATTTTACTTTTGGAAACTTTAATACCTATTTTTCAGGACATAAATCACCTTTTTAGGATGATTGTTTCCTCTGGTATTGGATATTGTGAAGCTGGAAGTATTTTTATTGATTTTTTTTTTTTAGTTTTGGACATTTGTTATGATGCGTAACCATGACAGCAAGGTGGGTTTTTTTTACAACCGGGAGCAGCTAACTAACATCTCAAAAGCTCAAATACCTCAACTACAGCCCCAAATGTCAAATGAGTTGAAAAGGAGGTGCCGTAGATGCTTTATTGTCTCCCTGCCAGCTGTTCTCAAGTGCCTGACCACTGAGATCCTGGAACAGGCAGGAAACATGTCTCATGACAGCAAAAGGACCGGGATCATCCCCTGACACCTGCAGCCAGCTGTCCACAGCGATGAGGAACTCAGCAGGCTGCTGGGAGGAGTGGCCAATGCTATGGGAGGAGTTCTACCCGGGATTCGGGTGGTCATGCAGCACGGGGGAACCGAGAGGCTAGCAGAGTCTGGGCGGACGGATCGGACGGCATCTGCAGCCATTTTCTGCAGGTCCACTGTGGGACGGACCTTTACAAGAGATCCTTTCTGCCTACAGCCATCAGTGTCTAAAACATCTCTTAATGAAATGAGGATAACCAGTTACAACAACTTTTAATTTCCCTTTGGGATTAATAAAGTATTTTTGAACTGAATTAACGTCCTGGCTGCCTAGCTGAGAGGTGGACCTCCCACCACCATAAAGTGGTATCAGTACTGTGGTATCAGAACAGTTTTATGAGTATAAGTACGCGTACACACACAATATCAGACTGATACCCATTAATGATATTAATATTGATGCAATCCTACTTTTCAGCTTTGTTCACCTCAGCAGTCCTCAGAAAACTAACAAATAAGAGAGTTAATCGTTTTATTGTGGAATATAAAAAAAAAATGAAACTGGTCTCCATTTAAATTTGCTACAACCTGCATTCAGCCCAGCTGAAAGACTGAAAGAGAAAAAGAAAATACAAAGACAATCGGTTTTTTGATGTATTAAAGACTAGTTTTGTTAAAAAGTTGTTAATGTCGTGTGTGTGTGTTCTGCAGGTTGACAATAAGGGGAATCACCTACTCGTTCATGAAGAGTCATCCATCAATGTTCCAGCGATTGCTGCTGCCCACGTCATCAAGCGTTACATCGCTCAGGCCTCAGATGAATTATCCTTTGAGGTGACGATAAAAAACATTTTTTACACCAATAAGCATTAATTATTATTTACATATATGATTAAAAAATCTAGAGCGGAAATCAAGATATCCTTTTTCTTCAGTAAAATCTTCTTTATCCTCTGTTTGATTTGCCCTTCTGGGAGTTCTGAAGACATTTATTTTCCAAAACGCACTCTCCATCTGCTGGTGGCATTTTGCTCGGGTGTGTGTGTGTGTGTGGGGGTGGGGGGGAGTATGCACACATAAAGCCTTGTAGTTTGGGGTTGAGTCAAATGTGGCCAAGGTTGTATGTATGGCTCCACCTCTCTCTGCACTCATACATGTCTACAAGTGTTACAATTACGTGGGGAACCCAGATAGTTTGAGACCCAGAACGAGGCAGACACAGGGGAAGTACAAAAAGAACAGTGTTTATTATTTACAGTGGATATTCACACGCTGGTTCAGCAACTCCTGGAAAGAGGGACGACAGGTTAATGTTGGTCCAGAGGGGAAGACCTGAGTGGTTGTTTGAAGGAGGTTCTTGTCCTTACAGTCCAAACCTGAAGGAGGGGAGCTGGTACCGTACCCCTCCCAATCGACCAGGTACTGGAAACCCCTACCCCTGCGTCGCACGTCCAGGATGGATCTGACGGTGAACGCAGGGTGGTTGTCGATCAGGCGGGGAGGCGAGGGGGAGGTCAGAAGGGGGGCACAAGGGACTGAGGGAGACGGGCTTCACCTGGGACACGTGGAAGGTCGGGTGCATCCTCATGGCCCTGGGGAGTTGGAGACGGACCGCAGAGGGGTTAATGATGCGGGTAATGGGGAAGGGACCAATGAAGCGGGGGGCCAGTTTATGGGGAGTGTCCCACAGTTTGATGTCCCTGGTGGACAACCAAACCTGCTGGCCGACCTGGTAGGTGGGTGTCTCTGAACGGTGGCGGTCTGCGAACGGTTTAGCCTGGGCCGCGGTCCAAAGGAGGGCTGCCTTGGCCTGGCGCCAGATGCGACGACACCGCCGAAAGTGGTGCTGCATGGACGGGACTGAGCAGTCTGACTCAGAACTGGGGAAAAGAGGAGGAAGGTAACCGAGGGAAGCTTCGAAGGGGGACATACCGGTGGCAGAGGAACGGAGAGAGTTGTGGGCGTATTCCACCTGTATTATGAAATTTTTTATCAAAGGGTTCGTGAACGATCGGAACCAGATATTCAGACAAGAGGAAAAATAAAACACAGAGACTGTTACTGCTAGGAATAATATTGTCATTTATTAACCTGCCACAGAAAACAGCCAAGCAAAGTCATGTACAGTTGGTACACTCTTAACACACAAATTGATATGAGTATCTCTCACCGTGACAAATGATCGGGAAGCCTTTCGATCCAAATGACAGAACTCACATCACCTACTGCATGGCACCGCGCGCTGGTCCACACAAGACTTCCAAAATTCCCTTGCCTGTCACACTTCCTTTATACCTTTTCCCTGACCGGATCGCGTGAGAGCAGTGAAAAACAAGTTTGATGGTTGCCAGGAGGACAGATTTAATTAAAATCTGTTTTTCCATCATCAAAGCAGTCTGTGCAACAGAGCGATGGCTTCATAAAAACATGTCCTTCAAAACCTGGGTCACCATAACCTTTAAGATGGGCCAGGTCTTCTGGTTAGAGCATCTCCCAGAGGACTTTAATTACTCCAAAACACATCTGCAGCACAGGCCTGACTTTGGGCAGATAAGCTGCATCAAAAGTGAGTATAAGTATTAATTGACATAAAAGCATCAAAATAATCATTCCTATATCATTCCACCCTTGCCTTTTATGGCAATTTAGACATTTAATTCTGAAAAGTAACACACACAAAATATATATGTTTGAATAGGCATAAAGGCAACTTAATATATTTTTATAAAACATATTTTTATATCATTCCACCCTTTTGCCTTTATGGCATATAAAACATAATTCCACAATACAACTTTTTAGTTTTGAAAATGCCATCCCTTTAAGTTGAACTCTAAACGATCTCCGACCTCTGAATGGTCGAGTTCTCCTGAAATTGAAATTGTTCTGGACTTTATCCTAAATAAACTCACTCACACAGTTAAGAAAATCCAGACGAGTTTCAAACCCCTGGAACGTTTGATTTATTATGTTCCCACTGACACGATCATTGTAAATCAAAACACCTGGTAGGTGTTCAGATTATAGTTTTTTCCCTACCAAACCACGTACCAAGCTGTATTATAAATTTCCTGATTAATTCTTTTTTTTTAAAACCCTAAACAAGTTCCCAAAATACACAAAGTTAATACAGAGATACATAGATCAAACTAGTTATTCTTCTTTTCACTAAACAAACAAAAGAGATACTGCATATATTTTGCGCCGTAGATAATATTCCTGCGAATATATCCCACCAATGGTGAGCCGACGCCTACACTATTAGTTTTAGCCATATGTAAAAACCTT